CTACAGCACAATGTTATCATTATATGAATCATTATAGCCAAAGTATAACACACGCTCTCTGTTATAAAATGTGTTTCAAGTATTACATCAAAAATTTGTTGTGATAGGTTGGGTATTGTGTTGTTTTGTGTTTCATTATCCCATAATAAATACCTTTATTTTTAAGGTTCTGAACAAAGGACAAAAAAGATAAAGTATCTCATTCAAAATAAAAGAAACTGTCCCTTTTTGCAACTGAATATTTTGTATATCCTATTGTATCGTCATATTTAGTGACATATGCATTGCAGCATTTCTAAGCTATATTGGAAACACATGAATTAGTTCAAAACCCTGTCAGCATGCAGTAGATGGTAAATTTATGTTAAAAGCCATGTTGAAGTCATATGATGCATCATATGAAAAGTGAAGTCTAATAATCCCATTTACTAATTTCGTCAAAAGCTTACAGGTGCATCTCAATAAATTAGAATGTCGTGGAAAAGTTCATTTATTTCAGTAATTCAACTCAAATTGTGAAACTCGTGTATTAAATAAATTCAATGCACACAGACTGAAGTAGTTTAAGTCTTTGGTTCTTTTAATAGTGATGATTTTGGCTCACATTTAACAAAAACCCACCAATTCACTATCTCAACAAATTAGAATACTTCATAAGACCAATAAAAAAAACATTTTTAGTGAATTGTTGGCCTTCTGGAAAGTATGTTCATTTATTGTACATGTACTCAATACTTGGTAGGGGCTCCTTTTGCTTTAATTACTGCCTCAATTCGGCGTGGCATGGAGGTGATCAGTTTGTGGCACTGCTGAGGTGGTATGGAAGCCCATGAACTTTTCCACGACATTCTAATTTATTGAGATGCACCTGTAGATGTAATTAAACCTGTGAGCATCAATCTACTGATGAGGCTACAGTATGTTTAGGTTTAACAACTAGAAGCTTTTACAATCCATTAGCATTTCCATTCACCTCTGGATTGGCTCTTTGTTCATGCTTCAAGTTCTCAGTTTCAGTTATGCCAGTTTTTGATTTAGTCACCTAAAATCCATGTGACTAATCACTCTTTTATTTCAAAGAGCACACGGCCTATTCATCAATGATAAAGGAACATTGGCTGGCAGGCAATCATGTTATCTGACTTGCGCTCCAAAGTGCAGGGGATCAATTGGTTGACCTTTTGTTGGCTCTGTAACCCCAGTGTGCATTAATTAATTCCTGCACAGGCTAAATCATCTAGTGTGACTAGATGGCTTCTGTAACCACAACTTTCCTTCTCCAACATGTAAAAATAAATGAAGAGTAAATCACAAACGACTCAATTACTATTTCAATTGTCGTTGTGAGACCTAATTAAAAATAACCCAAAAATGTTTTAAATAACACTAAAATCTAATGTAACCCAGTGGTTTTATACTGTGATGGAATGTTGTGTTTGTGACCAGCTTGGACTGGATTCAGGGTATTCCTGTGTTTTGTTTTTGCAGCATATTAAAGCAAAGGATAACGTTAAATAAAGTGATACATGCAAAATCTTTCTGCAGGAGCTTTTTTTTTTGGCATATACCAGTAGTCAAATTGAAACTGGTCCTCACTGCCTGAAGCTCAATAGCCAATAGCCACCCTGCTGTTTCTCTTTCATGTAGCATGCATTATTCCACACATATTGAAAATAAAATTGATCACTGAGCTATATAACGATATTTGCTGATAAGGACTGGCTTGATCTCTAAATGTGTGTAAGAAGAATTACTGCATCATAATGCAAAAACAAAACAAAACATATATTTAGAGAAACATGTTGCAAAAGTTAATTTCCTTAATCAGTCATTTTGTCTTGTTTTCCAGTAAATGTATTATTATTTTTAATGGTGCTGTTTATGGATTGTAAGATTTATTTTGTTAAATTTACTGTAAAAAACGACAGCAGTGGTTACCGAAACTTTACAGTAAAAAAAAAATTTAATAATGATGTTACAAGTTTTACATATTATGATGTCACAAATATTATAAAGTATATTTAATTGTATAAATAGGGGAGACCAGGTATGGTTATAACATGCGGAGAGTTGTAATTACACCAATTACACCAATCAGGGATAAGCTACTATGATCATGTCATTATTTACCCTCCCAGATTCCATATGAATGGTTGTCAAGGCTGTAAATAGGTACATGCAGATTTTATTAAGAATTTAAAAAAAATTATTTTTAGGTAAGAATGTTATTTTTTTAATTAAAACTATATTGTAGTGGCTTATTGCTGATCAGATCTACACCAGCATCAGTTTGAGGCTATACGGGTAAATGTGACAATAAAAATTCTACGGCTTCAAAAAGTTAATTAATTAAACATTAACTAGGCTATACCATAAAATTAATCACAAAACACTGATGGACATGACGGTAAAAAAAAAAAAAAAAAATTTTTTTTTTTTTTTAGGGATTCTGATAATGCCTCCCAGCAAGCAATTTTGCGTTTAAAAGACGTCTATTAGACGTCTAAATATAGCCTAGACGTCTAGGCTAAAACGAGGCTAAATTTGGGCTGTCAGTGAAAATCTAATAGACGTCTAATCATAGCTCATTTATAGACTAGTCATCAATTAGATGGCTATTAAACGACTACATATATACGTCTAATAGACAACAAAATGGCAATCATACATACAGCTTTTATTAAGAAAAATAAAATTTTTAACAACTTGGACAACTTAAGACAATACAAAATGATAAAAATACAAAAGAATTAATGACAAAATAAAATTGTATAAATACAATACACTTACCAATATAAATATTATGATAAAAAATCTGGAGTTTTTAACAACTTAAGATAATAAAAATATAAAAATGAAAAAAATAAGATATTAAAGATATTTAAGATATTTAAAAGAAAAAAAATCGAATACAACTCAACATAAAAAAAGATGAACCCTTTTGTTGGTTTACTTTTAACAAATAAAACAACCAACAGTGAACTTAAAGGAAATGATTAATTATTGGTTTTATTTCTTGTTTAAAATGCTTCCATATATATATAGTGTATCACCATTCAGTGTGTTAAAAAAGAGAGAAGCTCTCTGGTAAATGTTGTGTTTTATACACATACCTCTAATGACCGAGAACAGTGCAGTCTTTTCAAATGCCTCTTTCTGTAGCGGACCACCCCCCTTCATGTTGAATTTGGACATGAGGGAATTTTTTTAAAACCCTAAAATATAATACAGATTGAGGTGGTTAACAACTGCGGATAAAGTTGGACATTTCAAAATGACCAGTCAAGGAATTATTTTTTTTATTTCTGATTTGCGTTGTAACTTATTGAGTATTGACACCACAATGTTTGATTAATGTGGCAAGATTTGTAAAATGTTGTTTTAGAGAGGTTTTTTTATTATTTTTTTTTTTTTTACACCATTGCTGCCCGGATCTTTTCCAGATGTTGAAACTCCTCCTCAGTTTCTCCAATTCTTCTGAGTGTGTTCACTGTACTCTATTAAATTTTGCAATTAATCCTCTGAACACATGCGTGCTGAACTGTGCGCCTAGTCATGGATCACTATCAACTACTATCCGCTCCCTTCACTAAAATGTCAAGGTTCCTAAACATGATAACAAATAATATAGATAAATAATGAACACATGTCAAAACGAAAACACAGATACTTACAAGACCAAGTAGGAATGTCCTTTATCGTTTGTTGTTTGT